TTTGAAGTTTACATAGTTTATGGATATTTACTTAATTTATGGAACATTTAGACTTTCTATTTAAGTGCATTTTTAGGAGTTTATCTAAGGGGTTGAAAGGGTATTTACATTGTAGAATTTTATTAATATAATAAATGCTGTAGATTTATTGAATGTAAATTTATCTTTGATTAATCAGAAAAATGAAATAGAACAGTTGGAATCAAATTTAGATTTCATTTATAAGGGAGTGAGGGAAAATGAATGACCTTGATAAATACATTTGCAATAAGATAGGAAACCGTAACTTATAAAATAAAAATGTAAATGTTTTAGCTGCATCTATAAAGTGATATAGCTGATTTAGATTGTTAACCCTATGCAATTTAAATAAGTGGAATTATAAATTTTTTGATAGATGCAATGCATGATGATATTAATAAGTCGCCCTTAAACATTCCCCTAAAAATTATAATTATATAATACCTATTCCAAATTAAGCTGCTGAATTATTTGCATTTATTTAAATACATTTTTCATAATATTATTGTGCTTACTAATAAGACTGTTGATCTTTTAAAATATCACCTAAATAATAATGTAATCTAATACCTATTTTCAAAAAAGAGAGTTCATGTTTTGGATTAATTTTAATTATATCGATGTATATCTATTAAGCAACTTCTTACTTTTTCAATTAATTTAATGGATTTGCTTAAAATAATAATAATTACTAACCTTTTTAATACATAATTTCTATATTATAAGGTTCAGTTAATAATAATTTATCAAATAAATTTAATTGCTTCATTTTCTTAATTTCTAATATTTAAGGAGATACCTAAAATAACATAAATATGAATTCAAACCTTTTTGATATTCATTTTTATTAATTTTAATTTATTAATCAGTGATCTAATATTAAATCAGATGTAATTCTAATTTAGTAAAAAGATCATTTAAAATCTTTTTTAATTTTATAACAATCCTAAAATGTTAGTATTCAAATGATTCTTAAATTCATCAAAGCTAATCAAAGAATCAAGTGCTTATTATGTTTAATAAGGTTTTAATTTAGTAATTTTTTCTTCTAATCCGCAGAACTTATGTGATAAACCAGACATAAGTTTCTCATATGATTTGATTGTTGATTAGAATGAAATTTGACATTCTGAAATGAGTCCTTTAGGAAGTTTTGATTTTTCAATTAAAAATTAATGTAGTTCATGAATACTAAGTACATCTTCATCATAATGTTAGACATGTTTATTCTATTTTTGACAATTCAGACAGAAAATTCGATTCTCATTGCAATTATTTAATTTACACCAAAATTGAACAGGTTTTTCAGGATGATCTTTACATTTAAAATCTTAACTCTATTAAAATTATGAGTCTTAATTCATTTTTTTATTATTAATTAATTTTATAAATTCATAAACCATTTCAATATATATTCTATAGTATATTAATTTTAATTAAAACAACTAACATAAATCAATATGCAAATTATTATTAGATATGTCTTTAAATCTAAACTCTTTAAATTTACAGAAACCTTAGAAATATTTTATTTTGAAATATTATTCAATTCTTGACAGAATTAAGCCTATTGTGTAAAATACTACCTACTCTATTTTAAATTAACCTTTATTTGCTTTAATTATTTTTAAACAAAAAGTAAACAGAGAGTCGTTCATAATTTAACTCACTTTCATAATTTAATTATAAATCATAATATAAGAATTTATCAAAAGAGTAACTATCCTTTAGATTGATTACTCAAAATTGATATCAGTTTATTTAAACTCGAACATTTTTGCACCTAGTTTTGTGAAGTGAGTTCTGGCCCAATTTTATTTTCTTCTCAAGGTATTGTTGGCTATTAGTATTGGGATATGACAGTTTCATGAACATATACGAGCCTCCTTCCTAATAATAGTCACTTCCTCAAATATGATTTGTAATTCATACTAAAAAGTGCTCCCATAATTAAAGTTTGAGAAATAGTTAATACTTTGTTTGAAAGTTTTATCTTAATTTCCCAAGCCTTATCTGTTAGATTGAGAACTGAAAAGCCTAAGTATATATTATTCAGTGCTTTATAATTTCTAATCTAATTTCTTCCTTGATATGAAAACTACAAGGCTTAAAGAAATTTAATGTTGATTATCTTTTTATTTTCTGATTAAACTAAACAACTTTAGGATGTCAAGCAGTAAAAACCTAAAATTATATTTTGTAAGTTGCAGATACTTATTTAAACGTAAAAAATCTTCATATAAAGCAAATTGAAAAGAATTTTAATTTTTGATCTCATCACCTATTTAATCTATGGCTTTGATTCTTCTCTAACAGTAACTTATATCCTCAAGTTTTAAATAATTCCATCATGGTCCACCATTAGAAAAATGAGTTAAACACTTTTCTTAGG